AATTAACATTTCAACACACACCAATGGTAATGCAATGTAATATTCACTAGTGAAAACTAAATCGAATGAATTAATATGTCTGAAAGACAAAATAGAGCTCTCACGTGTGCACCCTCGGTCGCACTATGAAACGGAGAGGAAAAGGAGGATGATGGTGTGATTTACTGAGTGATTATAGAAGCACTGGCAGAGGGAAAGGTTCGGCGTGTGTGTGTGTTGGTGTGTGTGTCAGCGTGTGTGCACTGCAAGGTGACTAATCAGGCTTTCCAATGATATAAAATACAACACAAATAAGTATTATTAAAGGTCCCATATTATGCTTTTTCTGGTTTTATATGCCCTTTTAGTCTGTTTTCCATGTATCCTGTGCATGTTTAGGCACATCTATTTGCAAAAATTCAAAGTCCGCGGAAACGCGGCTTCTCCTACGTCCTCCTGTTAGCTGTAGCATTAGCTGCATGTAACACTCGGTTCTAGCCCCCCTCGATAAAAATTTGTCAGTGCGACGTCTTGTCAGTGTGAGATCACTGATCTAAGCCCATTGGCTCATTGTGGCAAGCCCTGCAGCTCATGTTGCAATTTCCGAGAAGCGTGCTGAGCAACTGACCAATAACGACAGAGCGGATCGGCAGACGAATCAGAGCAGACTTGGCCCATGTGGGGTCTAACAGTGTGGGCACAGCAGAGCGTAGCTGACGGACTCAGAGCGTAGAGGGAGCAAGGAGCAGCAGTACATGAAAACAGACACTTTTTCTTTTTACTTTAGCTATTGTGAACGTACAAAAGTAGGTACATAGATTAAATATACAAACCCCAAAAAGGGCATAATATAGGCTCTTTAAAGGGTCGAGATAATTGACCAAAATAACGTTTTGGAGGAGTTTGTCTTCTCAGGGAGTAACATAAAAATGACGAGTGGCCGACTGCACGAGCTGCTCCTGCTGTATGTTAATCAGCAATCAGGCTGAACAGAAAGAGAGAGGTGACAATGAATGCAGGTTTTCAACAAAGATAACAGGAACGACATTTCTCTAGTTTTATTTGCTCACAAGTTGCCAGAATTCTATTAGAGCTATGGGACTTAACGACAGACACACAGCTGCACTGCACGCATATCCTGATGGTCTTCAGATCAGTATACATTACTTACCTGTTTCTCCTGTCTTGACTGATGTAAAAGCAAAAGTTTGACTGATAATAACAACGCTTCCGATGGAGTGAGCCACAAAGAGCAGGTCGTCTGCATAAAAACACTCCTTTCTGTCATTCGTAACGGCCCAGACCGCCTCACCACATCCACACTAAGTGTAGAAGCCTCTGGCCTCTCCCAACTTATTTAAACTCTGATTATTGTAATAACGGTCAAATGAATATTAACTGATTGTATTTACAGATGGTTCATTTTTAGGTCACCCAGACGTGAAAGGGTTCTGCTGATCACTTCTAAATGCTGTTGTGTCAGACTGTAATAGACTACTGAACATTTCATTCTTATCCTAAAACGATATCACACACAGGCTGTCCGCTCATATAGATGTCTGCTGGTTTAGCCACAGAGCAGCGCTAAAAAGACTCCTTGAATTATGCACGGAGATGGCACAGATTCAAGGCCCATAAAAAGTCAGTAACAGAGTTAGATCACTATAGTACAAACAACTGACTGCCAGACTTTTCTTAGTTAAAGAACATGAAACTCCACAAGGAGCTGATCAGACTGCAGTGAAGTACACTGAAGGAAAAGTTCCCGTCTGTTTGTTTGGAAACATGCCTAGCACTAAAATACCTGAAAATGACTGTTTGCATGGCAAAAAACTAGTGGCGACGAAGGCCGCCTGTGATATCGGCGCACGACGCCTTTTGTTTTGGCCTAGGCTTATCTAAGTCATATCTGTAACATTTACATGCATGTTCTGACTGTATTTTACATGTATTTTCTGTGATTATCTCTGATCTGTGACAATCGTTATCCCCTCATTCAACATATCCAGTGTCAGTTTATCTTCTAATAAATTTGTGTATGAGCCACTGTAGGCTTTTCACAATTTGGTCTCATAGCTTGTCAAACTCTCCATTTCCAAAGATACACAATGCAAACATCACATAAAGTGAGGAAACATATTGTGTAATAGTTTCATAATGTCTTTGTGCCCTTTATCAGCAATTACATTTACCTTCACAAAACCCCTCCATACATTGTTTACCAATAATGGCTAAGCTATTCAGACAAAATTGTTATTTTTTATACCAGTGTGTTAACAAGCCTTTAAAATGGGAATTCTAACAGGGAGTATTAATGGGATTTCCAAGGCTTTTGGAACAAGCCTCAACTGGACACTCAAGGAATAGCAGTTTTTATGCACTTCCGTACTGGTTTCATTCTTCAACCGCTAGTTCCCAATGAACTGCCAAAAAAACAAGAAAAACGTCTTCATTCAGTTCTACCAAGATGATAGTTTAATCAAGTGTGGGTAAGAATAATGTTGGAGTAAGTAAACACATTCAATGACACAATTTATATTGTGTGGAGGCTTTGAGTGACTTATTCTTAAAAGAAATGGATAAGAGACAGAGAACCATCTCACTGCTACAGCAGAGTATGGGGACAGGCTGCAAATAACAAGGAAGGAAGGGTGAGAGGAAAAGAGCAATTACCTCAGATGCATACACAGACATTTGGTAGCAGAGCGAAATACAAAATGAATAATAAAATACACAAATTCACACACACACACACACACACACACACACACACACACACACACACACACACACACACACACACACACACACACACACACACACACACACACACACACACACACACAGAGCCCATGATAATGTAATAGTTAAAATAGCTGTTATTACATTCTTGTGTGCAGTGGAGATTAGTGACAGGATGTGACTGTGCTGATAAGATGTATAGGAATGCAGACTAAGAAAAGCCACTCACAAAGCACCCAACTGCATTTCCACATACAGTACACGTTCTGTATGTTCTTTTCTATGAAATCATTTACTGTGTTAAGCTGTTATACACCCCAAAACCTTTATGCAATAATTTATGATTTAAGGACAGATTGGTTGACAGACAGGTTGTTGGATTTCTCTAGATCAGAAACAATGGAGGGTAGACCAACTTACATTAAACCAATTATCACTGGAGCTCATCCTTTTGCTATAACTGCAAAATTAAGTGTACAGTAACACTACTTATTGATATTGCTGTGCCAGTTGCCAGTATTGCTTCTGTTTTTTTATGTGGCACCCAACTCCCAACAGCTTGTTTTTTTAGTTTCCTCAGTCACTTAACTTTCTAAGGAAAACTTTGTATTGAAACTTTGTCCAACGGTCCTAATAAATGCTTCTTAACAAGAAACGTCTACAGCTGCAGACTTCAATAAAAAAGCTTAAACGTAATGGAAGAAAAAGTATTGAGATTTACCTTTGATGTTGCTGCTTGTTGCCTCATTCAACAAGCCAGATGAAGATGATCCCATAATTGATCTATTTACCTTCTTCCCAGATAACAAAAATTAAGAATCAAAATTTCGTTTCTCACATATGTAAACACAGGAAACCTATACCTAATATCAACACGATTAACTGCTCTACTGTGTAAGGCTTCGTTGCTCATCACTTTTGCTTCATTCTCTATGTGTGTGTGAGTCAGTGTGTGGTGAGCTGGGCGGGACGATACTTATGAGATAAAGTCTGTCACAGCAGCCCAACATCTGCATTAAAAACACATCGGCCCGTTCCAAAAAGTGAGGAAATTTGTGTTTGGTAGATTATTTCTTTGTTGTAACAATGCTTCTTGTCAACAAATCTTATACTGTTGGAAAGCCAGTCCCTTTTAAATGGTGCCATATTTGTAAGGAACTTACATTTGTGGGATGAGCAGCAGAGCTGAGTATGTGGGTTGCGCCCATGAAAAGATCTCACATTGGGCCCTTAAAACAGACCAAACTAACCCCGGAGAATTTCTATAACCACACCTCCATCACACAAATGATCTATTCACACTTTAATCAACTATGCTTTATTTTACACCCTGAACATGGGAGATAAATAATCACTGTAATATCTCCTCATACTTAAAAAAATAATTGAAACTTTGTAATATTTGCACCTTTCAGACACTTGAACGACTTCTAGCAGCATTGTTTTACTTTTTAACGTGTTATAGTTATTGTTCTTAGGGCTTATACTGTCTTAAAGTGATCTTTTTGGATTATGGAATTAAAAATTATACTGTCATTAATGATAAACTGTAAACATACAATAAATCTGAATTACTTTGTTGGCATGACTTTAAAATGAGGATGTAATAGTTCTTCTCAATTCTTATAACATTATAATTTGTCTAACCTGACATTAAAAATGTTTTAATGTTTTTAATGCTAGCGTGACAACAGTGATGTCACATGAATTTACAATGAATCTGTTGATATCAAATTTTTCTACTGTGTCGATGGGAAAGGCGCTAAGTATTGCACGAAAGTTGAGTCTTTCTTACCATGATACAATTTTTTTAGAAAATAGGGTCGTATTCAGATCGTACCAATGAAAGGGATTAATAAGATACATTTATACATAAAACACAAATATGTTCAAAATGATATTCTTCACTGAATTCCTTTAACAGCTGGTTTAATTTCACTCGTTCTCAAACTGTGAGGTGTGCTCACCTTTCTGTTCAGAGCTCTCCTCACTCGCACCAGGTTTCGGGGCAGGACAGAATCATTAATGTATACAAAGAGGGGGAAAGGCGGTCTGGATGTTACCAAATACCAAGAAAATACAATGAAGTAGTTATTGTAATAAGCACACTGTGAATTATTCTCTCAGTGATAGCTTACATTAATTAATTAATATGAATAAAAATAATTCATGTTCTAATATATTTTAGGGCCCCTGTCAGTCATTGAGTTTGCGAAAGCAGGATACTTAAATGATCATGTTTGTTAGGGCTAAGCAAGCTTCAAACATTAAGATGCAAAAAAACGAAACAAAATCTTTATTTAAAAGCATTTTGATCAGATATATCAGTATCTGAGGTGACCAGTGCAGAGGAGGACCCAGAAGTGGAATTTACAGGAGAGGGCAGTTGTTGAACATTAAAGTGAGAGAAATCTCTTCCAAAAATAATATATTTCTCCAAAAATAAGAACTCAATGTGATATGACCCAGGAAACCTTTAATTAACGTGATCTCGGTGAGAAAAGAGTTCCCATGATTTTCTCTCCAGAAGAGTATTTCACACTAACCTTAAATACAGAAATCCCTGCTACATTCTCAATATATCAAAAAACATTTAAAACATTTAAAACAATAAAACACTACAGAAGACAACTACACCTACATACAATCAATAGCAGAACATATGCTTAAAGGCAATCACACCTTTCTTAAAGAATGTAATTACCAGGTTGGTAGGTCAAAGAGAGCTGATTCAGGAATTCCTGAAATATAGAGCCAGTTTCCCCCCTTTCTGCTTTTAATTACTCCTGTTATAAAGATAAGTTTACCAAAATTCCCTTGCACCTGCGCTGTAAAAGTCAGAAGACTAAAAAAGCGCTTTACAAACTCAAGTCCATTTACCATTTACTGTTTATGGGATTTTATACATGTATGTAATGTTGTGAAATTCATGCAAAAATAATAGTGATAATAGCCTGATTTCCACAGACTATAATTGGAATGTCAGACAAGAATCCAGCAGTAGACCTCAGAAACCTGACTCATTGACCGACCATTGATCTTAACATCTAATGCAGTTAATGCAGGATGCTGACCAGAAGAGAAACATATAAACAACGTTTTTTTAATGATCAGTGTCAAAAACAAATTCTCAAGCCAACGTCCAATGAGTAGTCTGAAATGAAACTCGCTGTTCACACATGCAGCTCAGCTTGAAAAGGTGAGGACATTTTAAGAATGCAGTGCATCTTTTAAAGAGGCTATAGAGAGAATATGATTTTAATTAATTACATATTCATCTGATCAAGTTCTGGTTTGTACTTTTTGTAAGAAATAGAATAAAAATAATCATCACATGAGAAGAATAACTGCAGCATTTCTTGGTAGCTTTTGACCTCTTAACATTTCTACCAGCTGATTAATGTTTTACCTTCCACTCCTGTAATGTGTGTAGAACCAATTCATTAGAAATATAACTGAAATGAACTTTGATGTGATTTCTCTGTCAGTCGTTGATGGATGAAGCTCTCCTCAGCTTGCAGATTTTCTCCACCCACAAGATGGTGGAGATTCATCCTCTGTGGATCATCAGGACACAGCTGCTCCTCTCTGCACCACCAGCGTCCTGATCGCTCACATTCTGTCAGAGATCATCAGCCCAGCTAATGAGAGAAGAACAGAGAAATCATCATTCATTTTCTACACTAACTCCCTTCATCAGCTGGAAGTCATCAGATTCCCCCACAGAGCTGTAACAAAGCTCCGCCCCCTCTTCACCTTTGTACTTTGACAGTGAACCACAGAACAGTTTTCTATTGGTGTCTGAGTGAGTGATTTTACATTGAGTTATGGGAGCTTCACGTCCACACACACTCAGAGACACACACAGCGTTGGTCTGTCCTACTTTCACCTCAGAGAACAAAACAACCTCCAGGCTTTGGTTGACCCCACACAGTCTTTGTTAGATAGAAACCTGAGCAGAAAACATTTGTTCAGAAAGAGATGAACTATAGAAAATATGCTTTATGACAGGACATGAGGAAAATACAGAGAAAGATCTGTTCACAACAGAAAGCAAACAGAGGAGCTCCAGGCCTGTAGGGGCGCTACTTTGAACTAAGTTTTAGAAATCCTTTTCACAGAGATTTAATTGTCAAAGGGAGCAATGATGACAGAGCTCCGGAGCAGGTTATGTTCACGTTAAGAAATCAACCTGTGAAAATCTCCGCCCATTGACCAATCAGATCTCTTGATGGTGGAGCTCTGTGAGCTGATGGAGAGAGCGGAGGGGGGAGAGAGAGAGCAACAAACACTTCAATGTGTTTTCGTTACTGCAGCGCTTTAGCTGTGGTATTAAGGTAAAATTAGCTGTTTCTTTCAGGAAGTTGGTTTTTGTTATTGTTTGGATGTTTACTTACACCCGTGAGGAACTACTGCACTGCAGGCAGCCAGAGTTCCCTCTGCCATCTCCAAAAGTTTTCAGAAGACTCCTCCATTGTTGGATGCATCATGGATGATGATGAGGTGGAGTACAGAGGACTGATAGAGAGCTTTTTTACAAGTACCTTGCGGTCCACATCAATAGTAAACTGGACTGGTGTAACAACACCGACCCCGACTCAGATCTTTCAGTATCTGCAACAGACTCCTGAAGACCTTCTACCAGCCTGTGGTGGCCAGCGCACTCTTCTTTGCTGTGGTGTGCTGGTGGGGTGGCATTATTACTGGTGAGCACAGCAGGATCAACAAGCCTTTGAGGAAGGCATGCACTGTTGTTGACCTTTATCTCATAACTGGTCACTTTAAATTCAACTTGCCACTTAATATGTCTCAATGTCCTGTATAGTTTTTAGTGTATCATTAAGATTTTAATTGGTGCCATATATATATATATATATATATATATATATATATATATAGTTTATTCAGAATTTGTTAGATATGACGACCTGACGATATGACTCACTTATGATTGTGATACGTTATATGAAGCTAAGCCCCTTTTATGTGGACATGCTCTCTGAAACTCTGGGTTTACTTATCAGGTTGACAACCAGCTTCTTGTGACTGTTCAGCACGATCTCTTATGTCAGGGTAAGTGAAGCCAGGTTACATAAAATAAACCCTGGGTATGTTGAACTCGCTCTGTAGTAGAGGCCCCAGAAAAGGATTTCTCCAACAAGAAACAACAAGAATCTAAATATATTTGTGACCTGATACATGGAGGATTTAGTAAAGAACACTGGGATACTGACCTCAGAGTCTGGAGGCGATAGTTTGGATTCTTCTTAAGATCACACAGCAGCTTCACTCCTGAATCCTGCAACTTATTGTAGTTCAGGTACAGCTCTCTGAGATGGGAGGGGTTGGACTTCAGAGCTGAGGCCAGAGAAGAACAGCTAATCTCTGACAAACTGCAGAGACTCAATCTGAATAAAGAATAAATGAAGAAGAACAATAATGTATAATCCTCTCACATGTGTTCAGGTTAGGATGAGTATCACAACATCACTAAATCCTCCAAATGTCAGCACAACATTGATACAGCTGTTCATGTGCACAGATGAATAACAGGCTGCCGATCTCAGTCAGCTCTGATGTTAGTACATTTATCAAATCAGACATTATTGAATCCAAAGTCTTCATGATTTCACTTCTTAATAGAACCAGAGGAAACCAGAGGCTTCATGTGCACGTTGTTCAACTTTACTTCACATAGTCATAAAACATTTTTCACATCAAATCTCTAAATTATTCAGCAACTGATGTTGCTCCACTGTCAATATGGATTGAAAGAATACAAATTAATGTCACAGTCAGTGATCTGACCTCAGAGTCTGCAGTCTGCAGTTTGGACTCTGAAAATAGTCACACAGCAGCTTCACTCCTAAATCCTGCAGCTTGTTCTCACTCAGGTCCAGCTCTCTGAGATGGGAGGGGTTGGACTTCAGAGCTGAGGCCAGATAAGAACAGCTGATCTCTGACAAACTGCAGTCACTCAATCTGAACAAAGAATAAAAGATGTTAATACTAGTCAGTACACGAGCTGCAGCGTTCTGGACTAGTTGAAGAGTCTTTAGAGACCCACCATAGCACCCCGACAAAAGAGAATTACAATAATCCAATCTGGAGGTAACAAATGCATGAACTAGTTTTTCTGCATCATTTTGCGAAAGGATATTCCTGATCTTGGATATATTACGAAGGTGAAAATAGGCTGTTATTGAAATTTGCCTGATGTGAGCGCTAAAGGACATATCTTGATCAAATAGAACTCCTAGATTCCTAACAGTGGTGCTAGATGCCAGGCTGATGTCATTAAGAACAGTCAAATGACTAGAAAAAGTCTCTCTGAGGTTTTTAGGGCCTAGCACAATAACTTCAGTCTTGTCTGAGTTAAGTAGCAAAAAATTTCTGGTCATTCAGGTCCTAACGTCCTTAAGGCACGTTTCTAGCTTACATAACTAACTGGTGCCATCGGGCCTTATTGATACATAAAGCTGAGTATCATCTGCATAACAATGAAACTGTAAGGAGTGTTTCCTAATAATATTTCCCAGAGGAAGCATATATAATGTAAAGAGAATTGGTCCCAGCACTGAACCTTGTGGGACTCCATGGCAAACTTTGGTGTGCATAGAGGACTTATCATTAACATGTACAAACTGAGATCGGTCTGATAAGTAGGATTCAAACCAACTTAAAGCAGTCCCTGTAATTCCAAGTAAATGTTCTAGTCTGTATAATAGGATCTGATGGTCAATGGTGTCAAAAGCAGCAATAAGATCTAACAAGACGAGAACAGAGAGAAGTCCCCTGTCTGAAGCTAAAAGTAGATCGTTTGTAACTTTAACTAGTGCAGTCTCAGTGCTATGGTGGACTCTAAATCCTGACTGAAACTCCTCAAATAAACAAAAAAAAAAGTGTGAGAAAGTCACACAGCTGATTAGCTACCACTTTCTCCAGGATCTTTGAGATAAAAGGAAGGTTGGATATAGGCCTATAGTTAGCTAGATTTCTTGAATCTAGAGTAGGTTTTTTGAGTAGAGGTTTGATTACCGCTACTTTAAATGACTGTGGTACATAGCCTGCCAGTAAAGACAAATTGATCATATCTAATATAGAGTTGCTAACTAAGGGAAAGAGTTCCTTAAACAGCTTGGTCGGGATTGGGTCTAAAAGACAGGTTGACGGTTTCGACGCAGAAATAATTGAATTTAGCTCTGAAAGGTCGATTGGAGAAAAACAGTCTAGACTAATATCTGGTCCTGGAACTGTCTCTGCCGTATCAGACGTATCTGCACCAGGTAAGGGCAGGAGGTTACTAATTTTTTCTCTGATGTCTTGAATTTTGTTGTTGAAAAAGCTAAGGAAATCATTATTGCTGAAGGCTAAAGGAATACAAGGCTCAATGGAGCTATGACTCTGTCAGCCTGGCTACAGTGCTGAAAAGGTATCTAGGATTGCTTTTGTTTTCTTCGATTAGAGAGGAGTAGTAGGCAGCTCGAGCGTGATGTGAAGCCTTTATATATTTTCTATGACTATCCTGCCAGAATAAACAAGATTCTACCGTTTTGGTTGAGCGCCATATTCTTTCAAAATTTTGCGACGATTGTTTTAGAGTACGGGTTTCTGAGTTGAACCATGGACCTATTCTCTGCCGTTTGATAACCTTCTGTTTTAGGGGAGCAATCGAATCAAGAGTAACTCTCAGCGAATTCACTGCACTATCAACAAACTGATCTAGCTGAGAGGGACTAAAGCTATCAGAAGAGTTTCCAACTGGGTTGAAACACGGGACTGAATCAAAAGCAGCTGAAATAGCTTCCTTAAATCTAGCTACAGCACTATCAGATAAACTTCTAGAGAGCACATTTTTATTAAGCAGAGATAATTCTGGTAGGACAAAGTCGAAAGTAATAAGGAAATGGTCTGATAGAAGAGGATTTTCTAGGAAAACTAAGGTTTTGGATTTCAATGCCATAAGCTAAAACAAGATCCAGGGTGTGGTTAAAATGATGAGTAGGTTCGTTTACACCCTGGGTGAAATCAATAGAGTCTAACAGTGACATGAAAGCTGTGCTAAGGCTATCATTATCAACATCCACATGGATATTGAAGTCACCTACAACAATTATTCTATCACTGCTAAGGACTAAATTTGATAAAAATTCTGCAAATTCAGATAGAAATTCAGAATATGGGCCAGGAGGGCGGTAAACTACAACAACTAGAACTGGCTGAAAGGTTCTAGAGACTGGATGTGAAAGACTAAGAACAAGGCTTTCAAAAGAAGAAAAATTCAGCTTTGGTCAAGGGTTAACTAGAAGACTAGAATTATAAATAGCTGCTACTCCACCACCTCGTCCGGTGTCTCGAGGTATATGATACTAAAATGACAGGGAGGAGTGGATTCATTTAAACTAACATATTCATCTTGACGCAGCCAGGTTTCAGTCAAAGAAAGTAAATCAATATGCTGATCTGATATCAGATCATTAGCTAAAAGAGAGTTGGATGCTAAGGACCTAATGTTCAAAAACCCGCAGTAAATTTTCTGATTTTTTTGCAAAATCGTATTCGTAGCTTTGATTCTAATGAGAATTTGACGATTTACAACTTTTTTTTCTACGTTTGGATGACTTATAAAAACGGGTCTGGGCCAGGGGACAGACACAGTACCTATAGTATAACTACAGTTAAATTCAGAATTACAGCTATAGTGACTGGGAGACAGATCTAAGGGAGGCGCAGAGAAGCGTGTAAGACTGCAGCTCTGCCTCCTGGTCTGAACTCTGTGTTGTTGTCAAGGTTTTGGACTAATAACCTCTGCTATGTTTCTAGATAATAGAGCTGCACCGTCCAAAGTAGGATGGATGCCGTCTCTAGCTAGCAGACCAGGTTTTCCCCCCAAAAAAAACATGTGCCGTCATTATTGGATTTGTTACTAAAGGACAGTTCATGGAGGTTTGTCAGAGGTGTCTCTACCTTCCTAAATGTCTTTGTGCTGCTCTTCACTCTATCTGTGTATTTCATATAAAGCCTGGTTTGGAAGTTAAAGGTGATGAGAGGCTCATGAACTGTTTGTTATTATCACCACACATTCTTTAAACCTGTGAGCCGTAAAGGAAGCCTTTATTAGATCACAGGCACGACCATCTAACAATTTAATGAGTAATGAAGGCAGGCAGGAAAAACACAACAGGACGCCCAGAAACATGTGATTAGCAGACCCTCTTCAGTGGACTCAGGAGGTCAGTGGGGGCTGGGAGTAGAGCTGCTGCTAATGTTAACTTGTTTCATGGTGCTCAGCTTGTTTTTAGGTTAGAATTAACACAGTGTTCTTCATTCCTGAAGTGTTTAACAGTATCACAGACTCAAAGAAAGAAAAGGTGTCTGACCTCAGAGTCTCCAGTCTACAGTTTGGACTCTGCAGATAATCACACAGCAGCTTCACTCCTGAATCCTGCAGGTTGTTGATGCTCAGGTCCAGCTCTCTGAAATGGGAGGGATTTGACTTCAGAGCTGAGGCCAGAGAAGAACAGCTGATCTCTGACAAACTGCACCATCTCAATCTGAATAAATGAAGAAGAAAGATATGTATAATCCAATCCAAACCTGTGTTCAGGTTGTCAGGTGTATCTCAGCATCACTTTGTCCTGATGAATACAATTTTCTCTAAATGATTAGAGGAGCATTTCTGATTGTGTATTCACAAAATCTAAATTCTCCAAATGTCAGCACAACATTCATACAGCTCTTCATGCGCACAGATAAATACCAGGCTGCTGATCTCAGTCAGCTCTGGGATGTTAGTACATTTATCAAATCAGACATTATTGAATCAAAAGTCTTCATGATTTCACTTCTTAACAGAACCAGAGGCATAAAACCATAAAAACATTTTCACATCAAATCTCTAAATTATTCAGCAACTTGAAAAACAATTGAGGATGTGGATTGAAATGATATAAATGAACGAAACAGTCAGTGATCTGACCTCAGAGTCTCCAGTCTGCAGTTTGGACTCTGAAGATAATCACACAGCAGCTTCACCCCTGAATCCTGCAGCTCATTGACACACAGGTCCAGTTCTCTGAGATGGGAGGGGTTAGACTTCAGAGCTGAGGCTAGAGAAGAACAGCTGATCTCTGATATACTGCAGACACTCAATCTGAATAAAGAATAAAAGACGTGAATGTAGATGACAGTGAGCTTTATGCATGAATGTGCAATGTTGTCCACATGAACACACTGATGTGATCATCAGCTGTTAATTTCAACATTAAAGGACTTTATTAGGATGCATTAATACTTTAGTTCTTCCTGATCATTCTTAGATTCAAACACTCAGAGCTCCTGTGAGGAACTTTCATTACGTATCCATTTTGGCGCCCCCTGTGGACAAATTGAAACCTCTTATCTCTTTACTCGTCTTGTCCTGTATAGTATTCCCTAACAAAAAAATCCTCATGTTTTCATTGAACTCTATAAACTACAAGTCAGTGTGAATCTCTTCTGTAGGAAATGTCAATAAAGTCTTTTCCAGACAGCGTCCTGTAATTCTCCTCATGTGACAGCGACCAGGTGGAAACAGGCAGACTTTCAAAAGGACTTTATAATGTTGTTGGTCTAATTGTGTTTAACCAGTCATCAAGAGAAATCAAGATTAATTTTAGTCTGTTTCATCAGCAGATCTAACCCCCTCACAGTATGTTTCAAATCAGAGAGTTGATTTTGATATATGATCTTAAATGATTAAAATGAGGTAAGAAGACTAAAACACACACATTTAGTTTGTGTATTTCATATTGAGCTTGTTTGGATGTTAAGAAACAATGATTAGCAGACCCTCTTCAATGGAATCAGGAGGTCAGTGGGGGCTGGGAGCAGAGCTGCTGCTAATGTTAGCTTGTTTCATGGTGGTCAGCTTGTTTTTATGTTAGGATTCCCACAGGGTTCATCATGCTCAGGTTTTTAACAGCAGCATAGACTCAAAAAAAGAAAAGGTGTCTAACCTCAGAGTCTCCAGTCTGCAGTTTGGACTCTGCAGATAATCACACAGCAGCTTCAGTCCTGAATCCTGCAGCTTGTTATCACTCAGGTCCAGCTCTCTGAGATGGGAGGGGTTGGACTTCAGAGCGGAGGCCAGAGAAGAACAGCTGCTCTCTGACAAACTGCATTCCCTCAATCTGAATAAAAAATAAATGAAGAAGAAAAATATGTATAATGTATAATCCACTCACATGTGTTTAGGTTGTGATGAGGATCTCAACATCAATTTGTCCTGTTTCTCTAAATAATTAGAGGATCATTTCTGATTGTGTATTCAAAATCACAATCCTCCAAATGTCAGCACAACCTTCATACAGCGCTTTATGTGCACAGATGAATAACAGGCTGCTGATCTCAGTCAGCTCTGTGATGTTAGTACAATTATCAAATCAGACATTATTGAGTTCTTAACAGAACCAGAGGCTTCATGTGCACGTTGTTTTCCATCTTCATGAAGAGTTTGAAACTTTTCTCCACATTATCAGAAATCTTTGCATGAAGATGATTCCTAATTCTGGAATACTTTGACAGGATATAGAAACCTTTTAAAATTCGTTCTAAATCAGCGATACTCAACCCATGGCTCTCCGGCCACATGTGGCTCTTTTAAGACCTAATGGGAGAAAAAACACGCTCAACTCCCTATTATCGTCAAACGACTGGGTACAGCAAGATTAGAATACACCTTTGGAATGCTGTCCTTATTGTTTTTCTATTTTAAGACCAAGCCTTATTGAAATACAAATCCCCAAAAATGTATTGAAAAACGGAAACATTTCCTTTTTGAAAGTCACATTACAATGTTTCCATGCCCATGTATAAACCCCTTCCCCAAAGTATAATTACTGACCTTTTTTAAATCTGTATATCATTAAATGCACTGATTGATTGTGTTTCTTTTATTAACTCTTCATTCAGAGCTGGAATCCTGCATTGGCGTGACTCTTTGGCCTGTGTTAGACTGTTTATGACTCTTATCTCTGTTTGAATGCTAACCACACCACCCAGCTGATGGAGTTAACTCTGGACCAGTTACATCAGCACTGACATCATCTTGTAACGTAGCTGGTATAGTTGTAGAAGCTAGTGGCAGGTAGCAATTAGCAGAAGTCCTGGGATAGCTGGTTAGAAGAAGGATGTCAGAGATCAACAAATGTTTCTATTTCACACTCGAAACATAACAGAGACACCACTTGGTAGAGCTATTTGGTACAACAACAATATTCAGACTGTTACTGTCACAGCCCTGCTCTGCCTCTCAATACTTTTCCATTCAGACTCCCTTCCTCTTACTCTATCTATCAGCCACAACCACCTCATCAGCTCACCTGCTCTCTCAGCTGCAGCTGATCAGTAATCAAGCCCCTACATAAGCTGCTGCTCCAAACTTTCTCATTGCCAGATTGTCATCACATTCTACCTGTCTTTCCAGCATTTTCCCTTGGATTGATCTCCCGGTACTGACCCTGCCTGCCTTGGACTCACCTTCTCCGTCAAATCCCCGGTAATTACCTCAGCCTTCTGTCCCCGATCACGAGTGTTGCTTCAGCGAATTCTGGTTCCTGTTAGCCTGTTTTCCCGGCTGAGTGTGGATTACCTGTTTTTTCTGTTCAAAGTGAGTTTTCCTGTGTTCGTTCTGCACAATCAGTTCTGGACTCCGCATTCCTGTGCCACGCGAGGCTAATTTCCCCAGCCGGCTAAAAGAGACATTGTTCATTACCTGTGTTCGTATTTGTATCATCTGCTGCTGAGAAATCAAGTGTGTGACTTTATCTGCCAGTTTCCTGTCATGCTGCAATTGAGTCCATACACTACCCGTTACAGTACGATCTTGCCAATCATGGACCCTTGCGCACACCTCTTCACCACAGTCCCGTTTTGAGAGGATTGAGGTGATCCTCCAGCAGCGTGAGGCACACATAGCCAACACCGCTGCTCAGGTACGTCAGTCTCTACACTGGAGAACCTGAAGGCGCATTCAGGCAAGGAGACAGGAGCGACGCAAGGGGGAGACAGGTTGCCGCTCTTCCACCAGCCTCAAGGCCCTTCAACAGCTACCAGCATCATGTCAGGGCTACAACCCGGGGGAACTGAACCCATGCAGGTTCACACCTGAGGAGTGTGAGCGCCGTCCCCAGGGGAATCTCTGCCTCTACTGTGGCCGTCTAAGGTGCTGGCAGGAACAGGTTTAGGCAGAGGAACATGACCAATACCAAACTGCAGAGTGAGGTGGTCGTCAATTATCAATTATAATTACGTCAGAACCAGAGTCTATAAAGGTGGCCAGAGTCTGGGGACCGTCAGGCAGGAGAAGTCAGGCCTGGCACAGGGGGCATTTATCGGGTAAAAAGTCTGAAGTACGACTCACCAAATATTTCCCCGTTATTGGTGAGTCCGCCCTTTTGCTGGACACCGGGACATCTAAAATCTGGAATATGGAGGTAGTAAAAATGCCAAGGAATGGTCCTTCTCTGTGATTTTGAATTGTTTGTTGCAGTGATTTTTTAATTTTCTATTTTAATATTTCTTCCCTCTGTCATGATGCTTTTGATATTGTGTGAAGCATTTTGAATTGCCTTGTTGTTGAAATGTGCTATATAAATAAACTTGGCAAGGCTACCTCTCTTCCTCCGCACCACCCATATGACTGCGCCATCGACCTGCTACCCGGGACGACCCCCTCCAGGGTTCGTCTTTATTCCCTGTCTGCTCCTGAGAGAGAGGCCATATATAAATGACTAATTGGCTTCTGGCATCATCCGCCCTACATCTTCGCCGGCCAGGGGCCAGTTTTTTCTTTGTCAAGAAGAGGGACACCACCCTATGGCCCTGTATTGACGACTGGGGCCTCAGTGACATTACGGTAAAGAACCGTTATCCCCTTCTCCTCATCTCCACAGTGTTCAAGCTACTGGAGGGGGCCACAGTCTTCACTAAGTTAGAGTTATGTAACACCTTCCACTTGGTCCGCATCAGGGAGGGCGACGAGTGGAAGACCTCCTTTAATACTCCCACCGGACATTACGAAACCTGGTCATGCCCTTTGGACTTACCAATTCCCCGGCCATTTTCCCGGCTCTGGTTAACAACATCCTACTGGACATGCTAAACAAGCATGTCTTTGTATACCTGGACAACGTCCTGATTTTTTCCCGGACCATGGACGAACACGTGCACCACATACAGGCGGTGTTACTGAGATTCTCGGAGAACTCACTCTTTGTGATAGCTGAGAAGTGTGAGTTCCACTCTCCCTCTGTCTCTGTGTCGGCCGCAACCTCTTGGCCCATCCCTGATTCCCGCAAGCAGCTCCAATGGTTCCTTGGCTCAGCCAATTTTTACCAGACGTTCATCCGACGATGCAGCATGCTTGCCTCCCCCGTCACAGCCTTGACCTCCTCTAAGGTGCCATTCCAGTGGTCCCCCTCGGCTGAGGAGGCCTTCCAGATCCTTAAGGCCCAGTTTGGGGTGGCTGTGGCTCAGTTGGTAGAGTCTTCGCCTCTCAACCAGAAGGTCAAGGGTTCGAGCCCCAGCTGGGCAACATGTCCAATGTGTCCTTGGGCAAGACACTTAACCCTGCATTGCTCCCGCTGCTTCGGTGGCGGTGTATGAATGTGATTAGTTACTTGTGATGGATGATACTACATAGCGATCATCACTACCGTCAGTGTGTGAATGGGTGGGTGTGACATGTGGTGTAAAAGCACTTTGAGTAGTTGGAAGACTAGCAAAGTGCTATATAAGCTCAAGTCCATTTACCATTTACCTCTGCCCCCATCATCCAAGTCCCTGACTCTGAGAGACAGTTTGTGGTGGAGGTGGATGCCTCCGATGTTGGGGTGGTGTCCATCCTGTCTCAGCGGGCCCCCTACAACCAGAAGCTTCACCCCTGTGCCTACTTCTCCAGACGATTAACCCTAGCTGAGAGAAACTACGACATCAGCAACCGAAGGCTCTTAGCAGTTAACTTGGCTCTGGAGGAGCCAAGTTAACCAGCCTGTCACTGGTTGGAGGAGACTAAACAAATATTATTGTCTGGACTGACCACAAGAACCTTAAGTATATCCAGACTGCTAAGAGACTGAATTCCTGACAAGCCAGGTGGTCCCTCTTCTCCCGCTTCAATTTCTGGAGAGGGAGGACATTGCTGGTCCTGACACCATTCTCATGTCTGGCCACTCAATGACCTGGGAGGTGGAGGCAAGAGTCAAGGAGGACCTGGAGGATCAACCTGGACCCAGTTCCTGCCCTTCCGACCGCCTGTCCATTCCTCAGTCTCTGAGATCGGATGTACTTCAGTGAGCACACAGTTCCAAACTTACCTGCCATGCTGGAGTACAGCGCACCAAGGAGGTCCTGCAGTGGAGGTTCTGGTGGGACACCTTGGAGAAGGACACCCAGGAGTTTGTCAGTGCCTGTCCTGTCTGCAACCAGCACAAGCCATCTCATCAGGCTCCTGCTGGTCTTCTGCAACCTCTGCCTGTGCCCTTTTGCCCCTGGTCCCACCTCTCTCTGGACTTTGTTACTAGTCTACCGCCATCCAACAACAACACCACTATACTGAGGGTGGTAGATCGGCTACCAAGTGAGCCAGAGCGTGTGGTTGTCGACCCGGGACCAACCTTGGTCGCCTCCTCCGCCGCCCCCTTGCCTAATTGATGGGGGTCCAACATTCTCTGTCAGACGCCTTCTTCGTTACCGCCGCCGAGGCCTTGGTATCCAGTATCCTGGTGGACTAGGAGGGGTATGGTCCCAAGGAGAGGTTGTGGGTACCGGCCAGACACATCCTCTCCCCCCAACTCATCAGGGACTTCCACCAGCTGCATCCTGACCAACTCACGATGACCACCAGGCAGGGTAAGAAGCCTACTCCTCCACCTGCACCCCCGGACGACGAGGTGGCATCTTCTGATTCTGAGGGGTTGTCTTCAGCTAACGAGGGATCCCACCTTCAGACCCCCTTCTCCCACCTGGCTACGGTGTTGGATGGGTTCGTCTCAGAGGAGTTCTGTTGAGTTCTCTGTCTCTTTAGTGATTCCTGTTTTATTTTGTAGTTTTTATCCTTGTTTATCCGTGTTTCTCTGTTCTAGTGTGTATTGTTGAATTCATGAGATCTCTGTGTGTCTTTAGTGTTTCTCGTTATATTTTGTAGGACTTGTCCCCAGTACTTCTCGTCTTTCTTCCTGCCTCTGTGTGTTTCCCTCCAGTTCTGATTGTCCTCACCTGTGTCGTGTTGGTCTCACCTGTGTCGTGTTGGTCTCACCTGTGTCTTGCTGGTCTCACCTGTGTCTTGTCGTTCTCACCTGTGTCTTGTCGTTCTCACCTGTGTCTGATAACCCAGTATGTTTAGTCCCTGGGGGCTTCTTACCAGTGTTTTCCTCGTGGACTTTGAATCTTAGAACGTTTTTGTTCGCCTTTGGGGTTGAGGGAGAGCTATCTGTATTTGTGTAATTGTAAGTATGTCTGTTAAATAATTCTGTTTTGGATGTTTGTGTTTTACTGTTTGTGTAAGGACTCCCTTAAATATGAGACAATGTATCTGAAAGGGCTAACTTATAATACATTCAAATTCTAACACAGTTTGTATTCTATATTACAGTCAGTGACCTGACCTCAGTGACTCAAGTCTGCAGTTTGGACTCTGCAGTCCAGCAGACAGCTTCACTCCTGAATCCTCCAGCTTGATGAGGCTCAGGTCCAGTTCTCTGAGATGGGAGGGGTTGGACTTCAGAGCTGAGGCCACAACGTCAAAGTGAGTCTCTGAGAGGTCACAGTCAGAAAGTCTGTAGTGACACAATAGAGATATAATAGAGAAATATGAATTATAAAACAAGCGGTTGATATTTTACATCTAACATTTGATTATTAAACAGTTTGGCATGTCCTGTTTGGTCTTAACTTTACACATCAGTGGAAATCGTCACTGACAAGTCTCATCACTCGTCTTGAAACCTTCACATTTTTCATCTTTCAATGGTTTACTAAATTTTGCAGATGAATGGAAACAAATGTAGTTTTATTTAGGATTCCATCATGTCTATAGTTTGTGATCTAAAGTGTGATCTATTCAGATGAATCTCTCTGCATTAGAAAACCATTTGAAAATCATTGAACAGTAACTCTGGAGGAGGAGGAGGATCTCATTCTCGTGCTGTCTGGCTCATTTCTATACACGGGAAAATACAGTGACTGCTGCAAATCAAACAAGTCAGCAAAGAATAAAATGTAATGAGGTTAAGGACCTCCTGCCAGAACAGTTTTTCTGTGATCTACCTGCTGAGTTTTGATGAGATGATGCTCATGATTGATTTGTAATGCCTTCAGAGGCTGGAAGGGGGAGCTCACGGCATCTGATATCTCCCTTTTCAATGATTACACTATCAGCCATCTCAGACCGTTCTTTGGGAATTCCCTCAATGTGTTCATAAAAAAAATAACTACTGTATCAAATCTATTTTTGAACTCAGGGCAAAAAAAATACGACTGACTAGTTCTCCTGAACGTTAACAGAGGAACACTATTTGGTGAACAGTGAGGAAAAATAAACAAGTAAATTAGTACATGACACTGATTTATAATGCTCATCACATCTGGACTTACTTAGCCTTCCTGCAGTTCCTCACAGCTGGAATCAGTCTCCGTCGTCCCTGGTCTGATGTGGTGTACTTCTTCAGGTCCAAGTCATCCAGAACCTCCTCGGACATCTGCAGCATGTAGGCCAGAGCAGAGCACTGGATCTCAGAGAGTTCCTTCTCTGATCTGTTCTTTGACTTCAGTAACTCTTGGATCTCCTGATGGACTAAGAGGTCGTTCATCTCCATCAGACAGTGGAAGATATTGATGCTTCTGTCTGGAGAGATTTCATAACTGTTCATCTTCTTCAGGTTGTTGATGACTCTCTGGCTCATTTCTGGAATGTTATCTGTCTGACTCAGAAGGCCTCCTAAGATTCTCTGGTTTGACTTCAGAGAGAGACCATGAAGGAAGCGAACAAACAGGTCCAGATGACCGTTCTGACTTTTCAGGGATTTCTCCATTGCTTCATTTAGGAGAACATCAAGAGTTGAATCTACAGATGTTTCTCCCAGAAAAGCCTTCAGAACTGTTGTGTTCCTGTTGGTGAAACAGCGGAACATGTAGACTGCAGCCAGAAACTCCTGAACACTCAGATGAACAAAGCAGTAGACTGTTTTCTGGAGGATCACACACTCTCTTTTGAAGATCTCAGTGCAAACTCCTGAGTACACTGAGGCCTCTGTGACATCCAGACCACACCGCTCCAGGTCTTCTTGGTAGAATATGATGTTTCCTTGCTCCAGATGTTCAAACGCCAGCCTCCCCAGCTTCAGAAGAACTTCCCTGTCGGCCTCAATCAGCTCATGTGGACTCATCTCACGTCCCTCATCATACTTGTGCTTCTTTCTCTTTGTCTGGACCAGCAGGAAGTGTGAGTACAGGTCAGTCAGGGTCTTGGGCAGCTCTCCTCTCTGCTCTGTGGTCATCATGTGCTCCAGAACTGCGGCAGTGATCCAGCAGAAGACCGGGATCAGACACATAATGCGGAGGCTCCTGGATGTCTTGACGTGTGAGATGATTCTGCTGGACAGATCTTCATCATCACTGAACCTCCTCCTGAAGTACTCCTCTTTCTGGGCATCAGTGAAGCCTCGTACTTCTGTAATCCTGTCAACACATGAATGAGGGATGTGATTGGCTGCTGCAGGTCGAGAAGTTATCCAGATGAGAGCGGAAGGGAGCAGATTCCCCTTGATGAGGTTTGTGAACAGTGGGTTTAATGATGAATTCTGAGTGACATCAGACACAACCTCCCTGTTTTTGAAGTCCAATGACAGTCTGCTTTCATCCAGGCCATCAAAGATGAACAACAGTTTACAGACAGCGAGCGTCTCTGCTGTGACCTTCTGTAATGTTGGATGGAAAACATGGAGCAGCTCAAGAAGACTGTACCGCTTATCTCTGATCAAGTTCAGCTCCCTGAAAGAAAGCAGGATCACCAGACTGATGTCTTGGTTCTCTGAGCCCTCTGCCCAGTCCAGAGTGAACTTCTGCACTGAGAAGGTTTTTCCAACACCAGCGACGCCGTTTGTCAGAACCACTCTGATGTGGGTCTTTTGTTTCTGTTGGTCGGGTAAGGCTTTAAAGATGTCCTGGCACTTGATTGGAGTCTCATGGAGGGTCTTCTTTTTAGAGTCTGTCTCAATCTGTCTCACCTCATGTTGGGTGTTCACCTCTTCACTCTGTCCCTCTGTGATGTAGAGCTCAGTGTAGATCCTGTTGAGGAGGGTTCTACTTCCTGTTTCATCACTTCCTTCAGTCACATGTTCACATCTCATCCTCAGACTGACCTTATGTTCATCTAAAACCTCCTGCAGACCTCTATCTACTGAAAGAGAGAGAATGATAGAATCTGCTTATTATTTTCAAATATTATTGTAAGAGAAGTAAAAAATTGTTTTAATTTCTATTCTTTTTACATTTACCAATAAAAGTCCTGTTTTAGGAGGAGATCACAGAAGCAGAAAGGTGTACAGTCTTACTTTGTTCAGTGCGGCTCTGACTGACTGGCTGCAGTCCAGGTCCTGTTCTGGATCTTTTTACACACTGAGAACAGGACAAGTCTCCTGGTGAACCAGACTGGTCCCAGTATGAGGTGATGCACTGTCTGCAGAACCAGTGTCCACAGCTGGTAGAGATGGGATCCTTCAGGACGTCCTGACACTCAGCACAGGACGGCTGCTCCTCTATAACATGAGTCCTCTTCGTCCCCCTGTGAAGACATGTCTTTAGAACTAAACTGATCGTTGACTGATAGAAAATATGACGATTTATTAAACACAATGTAAACACTCAGATGATCATAGAGAGCAGATAATGCCTTTTTTATTGTGTTTGTGTGAGGGCTAATATGTGAGGTTGAGGGAGAGTTTCCACCCTTTTTAAGGACAAGTGAAGGATACCTTTCCTATAGAACAGGTCTATACCTCCTCCTTTTATTAAACAAACTAAATAGCCTTATGTTATTTATCTTATTTACACGATGGCTTGTCATTTCTGTCTCTATATGGTCGCGCGTTTACAATTCTCCTCTGCTCTCTGAATCGCGCGCATTGGAGTTCCGCGGCGATGCACGCACATACACACAGACACGTGTGCACACACGCATGGACACGCTCAAACACACACATTGTCATAAAAAGAAATGTTCTGATGTTTAGTTCAATGTACAGCTCAAATTGTTCAGTTGTTATATTGATTACTATCATTAAAAGAAACAGCAGGGCTCAACATTTTAACTGGACTGCTGGCCCGGGCGAATGATTGACAGAGTCCGGGTCAGCGGATTGCACGTTCAGCTGGCCCAAGCACTTAAAATACTGCCTGAAGAAGAAAAAGATAGTAACACATTCACATTTCACAGCGCTTCCTTTAATACAGGTGTTTTGTCAGTAATTATTTTGAGAACTTCTCATTAATAACTGCTACAGCATCAACGTAGCATAAGCATGTGTGTAACAGTTGAAAGACAGCCAACAGCTTCACTGCTGTCACTCCCGCGAGCGAGCTCGCTACACTTGAATTGTACACTCGCTCTCAGATTTTAGAACAGGTTTTCTCTAATAAAAAACACGTTTGATAAAATGGTTTTAAAACCATCAGTTCCCGACAAAAAGCCGAGCTAAAAAGCATTCAAAAAAGAAAATCAACGGAAGAGTCGAGAGTGACAGAAGCTAAATCTCTACTTAGATTAAATACTAGATCCTGGTGAAGAAGTTATTCACAAAGCATCTTAGCCCTTATGTGAGCTCCTAAAGTAAAAATCTAAGGATGAGGAGTCTCTGAGACATGATCACACTCACAATTCCAGCTCTATCACAGCCTCATATTAATATCAATTAGATTAAATAGACTCCTACAGTTACCTGCATGGTGAATAAACATAAGCAAATAAATACAAATAAATGAGAAAATACTAAATATTTTATATAATTAGAGCTTAATGAATTAAATAAAAGTTGTTTTTAATTACTTTTGCATCAGAATGGTTCAAGAGTAAATTGTCGATTGTTATTTTCTGAATCAAAAGTAATATTCCTGGGCCAGCGGTTACAATGGTTGGGCCGATTTTGAAATTGAGGACGCACCACTGTCTTTTAATTCGGAGTTGTGGAAGCATTTTGGCTTCCCCAAGACAGATAAAGAAGCAGGTGAGAAGATAACAGACAGGACAAAAACTGTGTGCAAGTATTGAAAGAAGACAGAGAACTACACAAATAGCACAACCAACATGATGCAGCATTTAATCAATACCACGATGAGAAGCTCCAATCACATCCCCTTGTTGAGAGAAAAATAACATTAAAAGGCCAAACCACACTGACAAGCGGGTTTGAAGAGCCAAAGAGATTAGGAGGAGCATTGGTGTTTTCACCAAAAAATTATGGAATTTTTTTCAGTCATAATTTGTCTTCAGTCTTATTTTGGAAAAAAAAATCATGTGAAAATCGTATCGTGAACCCAGTATTGTGAGTTGAGTGAATCCTTACATCTCTAAAGATCAATATCTGAAAAACCCAAATTCTATCCTACAACTGAGGAGGATATCACAAGATGGAGTTTGATTCCTTTCTTTAGATCTAGCTCAAGAATTGAAATCTATAACTCAAAGAATCTGTCCTTTTGGAAGGCAATATTGTCATCTCTAAAGAACGTTTTAGAGATCATCTTAAAAAACATTAACATGAGAAAGGCCCCCGGTCCAGATCAAGTTTATGGACGCACATTACGTTATTGTGCTGACCAGCTTAGCAGTGTTCTCCAGCACATCTTCCAGTTGTCATTGGACTGTCACTTTATTCCTGCCATCTGGAAATCTTCCACAGTGGTGCCTATTCCAAAAATCACTGGTCCGAGGAAACTAAATAACTTTAGACTGGTTGCACTTACCTCATTAATTATGAATACCTTTGAAAAATGGTAAAGAACCTTTTTCTCTCAACAGTGGAGGGTAACCTGCGATCCTCTTCAGCTTACCTACCAGGCCGGGAGAGGTGTGGAGGATGCAAAACTTTAGATCTTGAACATTTAGAAAAGCCAGGGACCTAATCTTTAAAAATGTAAAGAACACATTTTTTGTGTATTTATTTAGCACAAGTGTTTTCAATGCATATTATTATGTCACTCAAAATGACATGTTCATAATGACATGAATACTGGGGGGGGGGGGGCAATTCTCTATTTTTCGAGTATTGGGGGGGTCCGGACCCACCTGTCCTCCCTCCCCCGTGATTTCAGCCTTGGTAACTTAGGTAAGGCGGGGAATTGTTCGCATCTCATAAAAACACAACTATTTTCCCGGCCCCAGGATGAAAGAATGCAGAAATAACATAATGATTGCCTTCTGTTGTATGAAAGCCTATAAAAGATTTGCCCCCTCAGTTACGTGATCCTGGCGCCGGGGTGATTCAAATACACTGTGTATCAGCTAACACCTTCTTCAGAGTGCAGAGACACACTGGCCCAGAATACATTTATTTATAGGCATAGTGAGTAGACCTTTTTATAAGCACCATGGCTAAGTGAGAAAAGTAAGGGCTCAGGGGTCAGGGTTTAGGGAGGACATCGAGATTCAGCCAATGAGACAAAGAGAGTCATTATTGCTGCAGTCACCCCAGGTGTGCACTGGTGAAGGCATGCAGCATTTGTACTGGCCTCTAGAGGCATCACATAATCAACAAGTAAAAAAACAAGAAGAACAATCCTTACCAGGAAAACAGCATCAAAAGAGTGAATTCATGTGAAACTAAAGGCTATAACGGGACAGTAGATATTAACTACATTCACTAAATGAGAAATCAATTTAAATACCGTATTGACCCGAATATAAACAAATCTCTGAAATATCCGAAAAAGAGGGGTCGTACTATATTCGGGGTCTAGACATTTAAACAGCAATATACATCCACAACAGCAGGTGGCGCCAAATGTGCCCCTCATGACTGGAGGAGCTGTCAATAAAAACAATGACCGCGTGATGATGGAGAGACTCAGTGACTGTCCGGAACAAAGCTGCTCAAAAGTGGGGCAAGTGAACAGACAGATGAAGAGAAGTTTTGATGCTAATTTTAAGATGATGGTGATACACCTGGCAGAATCGTCAAACAACTGCCAAGCAGCGTAAAAATATGGTGTCGGAGAATGTAATGTAAGGAAATGGCGAGCCCAAAATGACCGTCTTAAAACTACAAACAGTCAGAGAAAAGCTTTCTGTAGTCCCAAAGCCGGTCGCTTCCATGAGATTGATCATATGTGAGTGTGTGATTGAAAAACGAGACGAGGGACTGCCAATTACTCGGGCCATCATTCATATCAAAGCATTGGAAATTGCCAGAGAGCTTAAAATTCCCGCCACTGAGTTTAAAGCCAGCGTTAGCTGGTGCCGGCGAATGATGTAGCTGAATGGACTGTGTTTGAGGTGCAGGACAGCGCTTCAGACTTCAGAGAGAAGCTGCTCTCTTTTCAGCGCTATGTAATCAACTGCTTTTGTCAAATTGGAACAATTCACCTCATTTTGGGAAAAAATTACGGTGGCCCTGAAGGTCAACTGTGCAAATTTTTCATGGTTGAGAAAAACTTTTCACTACATGCAAAAGTATTTCATGAAACAAAAAAACACTTTAAAAAACATGAACATTTTCAGGGACTCAAATATATTTCACTTGCTGCAAAATGTTTTATACCTGCTGTGAAAAATATCTACTTTTCCTCAATTCACTTAGTTTCTCTGCTGATGTGTTTCTGAGACGTTTCTCTCCTCAGCTGACCTCTCATGTAAACACGGCGCTAACAACAACAAAGTCAGCAGGACTCGAGCTTCTCACTCATTTTAGACTCTTGTGACGGCCTCAAGGTTGGCCTCTTCCTGTTTGTTTCCCTTTGCTGGCTGTGTTCTCCTGGTTGCAGGTAGCTGTGGGTGGAGTCAGGGAGGACTCTAATGCAGCACACCTGAGCTGGCTGGTTTGGGAGTCTACAAAGCAGACCTGCTCAATCTACTCGTTCTCTTCTCTCCTGCTTACTGCTGTTAACATTTGTTTGTGCTTTGGTTGGAGTTAGTCTCTATTGTCACTGCTATGTTGAGCCAGGTTGTGACACTCCCCACATTTCTCATCTCTCCTCAGCTGTCCTGTCATATGGAGGGAAAAATGCCCCCAAAATAATTTCAATCAAAAACTGGGCCTCACTGTGGTTGGCTGCTAAATCTCATCTTTCTCTGAGAAACAATTTCAGAGCTTTGAAGAGCTTTGTCTGCAGTCTTCATAATAAATGTGCTCACCAGTGTTCAGCCAAGATCACTGGACCAAATGTTCAGTATACTACCATGACATCATCCCTGATGTACTCAGCTGGACTCAGGTACCATTCACTAAAACAAGGATCAAGTATTAAACTATGTAGTCCAGGAGAAAGTGTAGTCAGATATCAGAACAATGCTCAGCTGGATCAGCAGGAGGAATGAACCAGGTAGGTTAGGACATCCACCTCTGGGACACTAATCCTCCTTTTAAACCGTGGCTCCCATCCTTGATGGTGCATTTAAAATGGACGTGTAGAAGCAGACTCTCAGTGAATTGATATTGTGGACAGTATATCTTTTTGTTTTGGTCATCATTGGGAGTGAGGAAGGAGAGGATTTCCATTCTGCCTGAAGGACAAACATAAATGTTCATTCAATAAAAATGCTTTATTGGAGTGCTGGTGGCCTAGTGGTTA